ATATATATACTTAATCATTATTATTGCATAGAACTAGTTTATTCGTTTGGGAAAATCTTCCATCCAACTTGAAGTAGATAAGTGCCTACATTTTTGGGGTACGAAGATCAAAGTATTCAATGCAGATACTATTACATAGGCAGCAGGTTATCCCTGTGAAAGGCTTTGTTAAGAGGATATTATTCAGCATAAAATAAAGATATATGCTTACAGGAAACAGGAAACAAGTTAACAGCATTTCTCAAACAGAGTTTTGTTGTCTTTGTGTATAGCTGGGTGTCAGTTGTACTACCCACAATGATAAAAACCATTAGTCAGCTTTTTTCCTTGCCTAGCTGATCAGGAAAAATGGCAACACTCTTCACATCCAGACACCATCATGATTTGCTTTTAGGGGTGTCTGCTTCAGCCTAGAAAAGAGTAGAAGGGAGATGCTGAATAGTAATTTTGTCCTATAAGCAAAGGAGAAATGGCGATAAATGGGAAAATTTAATTCCTACTGATTAGTGATTACCAAAAAATATATACATAGTTGAATTTGCGCGATCACCCTGTGCTCATGTGGGTGTACTCTTGGTGGACTGGTTCCCTCTCACAGACTAATGATATAGACCAGTGTCTCAAACTCTCAACATTGCATGTTATAATTGTGTGTGTGTTCCTGCACTGGGATTGTGAACTCTCAGAACTCTCTAAGCTTCTTCAGAACTCAGGTACATCTTGTTAGACCATTGTTTTTTCCATATTTGCTTCAGCTGGCTAAACTATGCAAATTTTGTACATACTTTTCCCCCACATATATAGTAATAAATCTGAACAAGTAGTGTTGCAGATAAGACAAGTCAATAAACAGTGCTATGTAGTAATTATTATGCTTTACACATTTAGCAGATTCAGGTGATTTTTTTTTTGTATAGATGCCTTTATGTAAAACATTCTGTTAACATGTAGTATCCTTTTTGGTGTGTGTATATATATATAAATATATAAAATATCTGTCTACATATTTATATTTTTAAATTATAATTTAAACTGATTGTCATGTGATTTCATGCAGTTCTGTCCCAATTATTCATAGCGTAGTGCCGGAAAAAAAACATTGTTAAGAAAATTGTATTGATATTGTGAGTGTATACAGAATGTTAAACAGTGACTGTACTTCTCCCCACACAACAAACAAAAAGGAAGTTCCCTCCCGTTGCACAGTGTAAATTTGGCTCCAATAGAAGTTATCCGTTTGCCACCTCAGTGTACAACAGGAAAAACATGTTTACTGAAACACGCTCCTTTAGCAAACTAGAAGGGGAGTTGAAATACTGTTTAGTTAATCTCCCTTCCAAAAGCAGTCATTCGGGAGACTTGTCCTGTATGAATTTGCCCGGGCAGCAAGAAAAATAACAGAAACAGAAAGATGCTAATACACCGCCCTTTGTTTGACTCCATAACAAGGGCTGGACTTGGCTCCCTGGCGAGTTTTTAGCCTGCATTGTTAAGTTGTTTTTGGACATTGTTCTTAGTGTCTGCCATTCCTCCAGGAATGCCCGACACTCAGGAACTGACAGTTTAACCTTCCATCCTCAGCTAGAATATTTTACAGCCCAGAATTGTCCACGGTTGTGAGTGGGCTTTCCATCTTCTCGTGTTTTTCACATTACCTGCCTCCCGCCCGCCACAATGCCCCCTGAACTCCACACTTTAACTGTTTCTCCCCCAAGGCAATGGCGTTTCTTGTATTTACTTTCAGAGTAAAACCAAGAAGCAAATTCCTGTCTCATTTATTACACCAGTCATTTTAAACCAGGACAAAGGAATTTCACATTCTTTCACACATTCGGCTCCACTTTCATTGTACAATTTTTATACAATGGCTACAGATCAAAGTTATATTCTGAAGTGTATACAAAGACTCTTTTTACCCACCATGCCCCCCAAAAAAGAGAAAGGATATTGTGTTTAGAAATAAAGTTTATAGAAGAATCAAGTCTTTAAATTGTATTTTTCATTATATACAAATATTTGGTTTATAAGAAATCATCTCATTTTTGGAATAAACAAAGTAATTCCATTTTATGCACCTCTCAATGAACATACTACTTAATGACATCTTGAACATAAAACGACAAATGTCCCTCTTCCAAAAAGTATGCAATGAGTTTAGGTATCATTTGACATTTTAATTATTTGTCCTTACATGAATAACCTGAAATAAAACATTTGTAAGTCATACACAGCTAAAAGTTGTTTTCAGTACAACTTTTAATATGGTTTTCTGATACTGTTACAACTTAGTTTTGATTTTATAATGCGTTGTAATTCAGATGTACATTTTAATAAATCATTTCTTAGAGTCTGACTATAATTTAAAAAGTCAGACTGAAAAGCAATAAATATGACAATAAAGACTTCCAGTTTGCATATAAATAGTTGTTCTCTTGTTCCCATCCACCCATGAGTATAAGAATAATTTCTGGTTTTCAAAAGTTCATATTTACTATTATAACAAAAGGGAAAACCAGTATGTAGCAATGCATCTAATCATTTAAAAGTAATTAAAAGATACATCACACTAAATAGTACCTTAAATCGAGCCATTACCAAAAAAAGTATCATTTTGCAGCAGCACATAAATCATTGCTGTGATTACACAATTCATTATGTATTTAGGCAAATATTTTTCAGTGAATGGAAAATAGCATTTTGAATCCCTGATAAAAATTGACATTTCTACTAATTGAAGGCAGCACCTTATTCCATGCAAGAACTCAAACACAATTTAAATATATTGTCTTAGTTATGCCTGACTTATTGCCTTTGGTTTTTGGTAACTGAAAGGTGGCAGAAGATTGTCAAGTCTAAATGGCCTCATGACAGAAAACATGACAGGCCACATCCATTGATGTGCGAGAAGAAAACAATACATATCTGTTATTATGTCAATGAAAGTGTTTATCTTTGGTGAAATACCTTAGAATATTCTGAGGTTAATATAATCTTCAGCTGGTCTTCAGTTCAGTTTATATGTGATGTGTTGCATCCCAGAAAAAATTGAGTTGCTGCTCTAGTGATTTCTGCTACAGCATTCCATCGTGTATGTCTCTCCTGGGGACCCTCTTACGTTGTGCTCGAAGACGAGAAAAGCAAGAGGAAGCAGTAAGGGCAATCCGGCTCAGACCCACATTGACACAGTGCACCTCGGACGTCACAGGAACCTCAGAAAAGAGGGCTCGATCACGGGACAGCTGCGTCAGGCTATCACTGTTCTCGATATCCTTCACAATGTTCAAAATTTCTTGTCGCTCCGCCTGCCGTGTCATTCCGCGGATGTTCAAAATTGCAGATATGTGTTTCTTTCTGGAAAAGGAAAGAAGAGGTGCCTGAAACCTTTGAATAGATCAAATATCTGTTCCAATGTATTTTGTTCAACCAAAATTGAAGAGAGCCAACCAAATGAAAAAAGCATTTGTCAATCTTTTCAGTTCCATATAAGCTTATTATAAAATATATGAGCATAAAACTTCATAGAGCAGCTGCCTGCATTAATGAGAGTAATGTTTGCACAATGAGACAAGCACCAACTGGCCAGTGTGGGCACACATTGTGGTGGGGGAATCAAGTAACAAACACTGTTCAACAGTAGATTCAGACAACAAGTACACAACTAGAAAGAATTATCAGGGAGCTCTATTTGTCTCGGAAAATTGCTTAAACATCTGTCTGAGTTAGACTGGTCTGGTCAGCCTTTGATTCTGCATCTTGGCACCAGGTAGTCTCCTGTGGGCCAGCAGGAATGATTCTGGAGCAGCTTCCCGTCTGTTCCGACGGGGCTGCGTCTGCGAGTGGCTCTTAGCCAGTAAGCTTGTCTTGGAAAAATAAACAAACACCCAAGAGCCATACTCTCAAAGTACTGCCTGCCCATCCTCTGCCTACCCAGGCTATGATTTCAGGCATTGTTTCATGATTCCTTTCCTTTCTCAAACTCTCGTGATTTCTACACTACTTTGGAACTAAGTAGTTATTCACAATTAAAATCAGTCATGCTAAGACAAAATTTAAGGATGAACTGAATTTTTTTTTAGTGAATATAGATTAAAATACGTACGAAATAGGGTGTAATTTTTACGAAACTACAGTGACCCAGGTCAGCAGTTGGAAGACAGGTGGATGGAATAAGATTAAATCAACCAGAGGATCCTAAAGTGTTTCAGTTCACAAATAATCATCCATCCATCCTATCCAACTGTCAATCCTGGTCAGAGTTGTGGGTAATA